CACACATCTCAAGGAGAAGAAAACTCTCTACAGCTATCACAGCTGTCTCTCAACTATCAGATTGCCTTGCCGCTTCAATTTGTTACAAGGGGGTTTTTTTGGTTAACATTAAATACACCCTTCCTACCTACCCCTTGTTATACAGCCTCCAGATTACTTTTTAATTGAGCTTCTGGAGATGAGCAATAAGGTTCAGAAGTGGAGAGGATGCTATCCCCTGGCTTGTTTCGGGCAGCCTCGGACGTCCTCAGCAGCTCTTGCACCACCGCAATGAAGATGCCGCCACCTGGTGGGATCTCCACCGCCTCGGGTGGAGGGGGGGGGGGAAGGCACGCTGGACCCCGGGGAGGGGAGACTCCCCCCGGGGAGGGTCGTGGCTCACACTCACCGTCCTCGCATGGGCATCTTGGAAGAGGCTGGCCAGCAGCATGAGCAGGGCTGGAAGGAGAGGATTTGCTGACAATGAGAAGGTGCTCTTCATGATGAAAGCCTGTTGGTGCTCATCCAAAGCGAGATGGTTTGGAAATGGATAATCTTTGCATTTTTAGGTACAACTGCAAGCAGCAGAAGAAGAGAAGGAGGAAAAAAAAAAAGAAAGAAAACAAAAGGTAGGTATCAAGCTACCTACAAAGCCGTAGCAAGGCAGGCTGTAAAGAACCAGAAAACCCTGAGAATAGAGTTGGAGTCATTGACACAAGGGTTGAGCAAGGTAGACAACGGATTGCTGGAATGCATAACTCACAGAAGTTGGGATTTGGAACTGAATTTCATGTGATTAGGAGATGCTTCTGTTCAGTGCTCAAGCCACAGCTATTTTTTAATCTCCACATGATACTACGTGCATTACCATGGCTTTAGTCCTGAGCATGAGTCTAATATTTTCTGAGGGCCAATAATTAAAAGCCTGGAACTCAGGTTTGAGGCAGCCCAGAGACGTTTCTGTCTGGTTGCATAGGGTCTAAGGCTTTTTCTGGAGTCAGAGCCAGCAAAGCTCTGTCTGTAGATCAATATCCATGAAAAAGCATGGAGCCCTTCAAGCCTGCGTTTGAGGAGCCTTCTCTTTCTGCCAGGAGAAAGGGGAGTGAGGAGGCTTATTCTAGCAGTAAGGAATGTATCCAGACTGCCGGCAGGATTAGAGGACAAGGTGATGAAAATATCCACGTCTGATCTGCACTCAAGTTGGTACAACTACTAACATCTTTTAGCACCACTGCTAAAAGAGAAAGACATTTCCTAGTCCAGATAAGACCCCAGAGCAACAATGTCTATTCTCAGGATGAACATTCAAGAACAGACTCTTCCCCACGGTATTTTCTATGTATTTCAGCAATTGCTATGTTGGAATTGTAGCACGTGAGCATTTGCAGCGACCTTAGAGCAGGCACAGTGGAAACGGATTTGACAACCGCTGTTACAGAAGTTTACAACTTATTTAGACACAGACTGTAAGTCAGGCAAAATCTGACTCTGCCCCCATCACATGCAACATTTAACACCAACGCTGCGGTGCTGGCTTTATAATTCATGGCTACAAAACCCATGGATGTTCAGTCAGCCACACCAGGCAATATAATTGCTGTTTTCACAGTTAGCACTGAGAACACCGTAAATTCGGTTATTCCCCTGCCTCCTCCTCCAAAAGTCTGTTACAAAGAGCAGAGAAAAAGACCTCAAAACACTGGTGCATGCTTTTAGAAGTCAGTTACCCCTTGTACAGAGAAAAAAACCCCATAGCATTAATCCAGGCAAGATACCTCTTCCCTCCTACCCATTACACACATGCCACGAGTCTGAAAGGAAGCCATCCTCCAGAACACATGTTGATACATATTTTACAGAAGCACTAGTTTCCAAGAACTAGTTTTGACACACAACATCATCTAACAAAACTCACATGATTTGTGTTTCACGAGCAATTAAACCTATCACTCCGACAAGCAAATTTGCTGTTCCTGTTCACTATTCAAACATCAGGTTAGAGGAAATTGCTTATGTTACAAACTCTGTCCTTCAGTAAAGAAATTCTATTTCCATGGCTTGATAATGTCATTGCTAATTCATTAAACCAGAAGCTGCCGAAGCTCCAGAACACAGAATGAAAAAGCTACACTTGAACTACTGCAGCTAACAGAGGAAATGCAAAAACAGCCAGACTATGATTTAGATTTCATAGTGAAGTCAGACAAGACCTCAGTGTTGCACTGAAATCACATCCCAGACATTGTAAAGTCCTACTGCATTCACATCACTGTCATACTGCTGGCAAGCCACAGAGACCAGTAATGATGGTACTTTACTACTAAATTCTTTTCTCCATGCTTACAGATGAAGTTTTACAGGCTCTGCAACCAGACCAACTCCCCTCATGCAAGTAATTACCTCCTTGGATAGAGACAAAGTGGATGGCACACCACTGCAGAACAGAGATGCAGAGAAATAAAAAGTCACCTTTAAGTGGCCGCTGAACTCCCTTCCTTTAAAATAAGTGTTTCCACTACTTGAACCACTTTTCAGACAGTCACCTTTCATTTGGAACAACACCCCAACACAGTGGTCCTGGAAAAGAAATGCTACGACATCAAAAGCTGCATTTCTTGCCATGCTAGAAAATGCTTCTCTACTTTTCAAATGCTAGATATTCCCTCCCTCCCCCAGCCATTCATGGTGAAATAATTAGTGTTAGTGTTCTCATTGTTTATCAGACAATACAGACAATAAGGCTAAGCCTTCTGCTCCTGTTTTCTTTCCCTGTGCTGCTGTGGTTCCTCAAACAACTGTGCAAGGCTTTACTTTGAATCCTATAAATAACACTTGTCACTCATAGGTTTGTAACCCATATTTAGTTGGGCACAAACATGGCACAGTTTCAGCTTGATTCATTGTCCGCAAACTTCTCCAGATGTGTTCATGCAAGAAAAAAAGGCTAATAAGGAGGAGGAAATAAATAAATACTATCTAATCCGATTGCAATTTCATAGGGAAGGAGAGAAGACACTACCACATCAGATCCTTTATGAGGGAGAGAGATAATGAGTTGTTTTTAAACACAGACTAGGAATAATTAGTTATTGTCCTTGGGCTACAAGATGTATTTTTACATGCTTGAATTCCATGCTGATTTTTATAGCCTGTGAGCTAGCTGCTCTGTCACAGGGAATTTTTTTCCCATTTATCAACATGTTAGTGTCAGACTACAAACACATCACAACATATGACTTTATCAACAAGCAATGTTTTTCGCTGTGGCTAATTTTGAAACCGCATTCCTGCTTCCACTCATACGAGATATAACCTTGGGTAACAATCAGATAGGCTGGTGCCAGACATCCTCTTCTTAAATACATTCTCATTTTACCTTTGGAAAGTATTCTAAACAAACAAACAATCTGGAGGCGATCTGCTTTCTTCGGAGCTCCCCTTGACAATAGCAGAGAGATATATATTTTTTTTTTTTAGAAGGCTGCATTTTATAGTCTCAGCATTAGGATGAGAGTAACAAAAGAAAGCCACGCAAGAAGCAGCAAGCTAGACATAGTGGAAACTACTAAAAATCCCGAACTTCTATTACAATTAGTTGTGCTAAGTATAACTTTGCTCATTGATGCACCAGACAGAAAGCAGACAGACAACCTCATCCCACTGCACCAGCTTTTCAAGCTTCCAAAATAAACACAGAGGTCTTTGCACAGACTGTGCTCTCCAGCAAACCTGCAGCCCGATCTTCCTCATTTGATATGTGCAAAGGCTAACGCTGGTGGTACTCACAATAATTAACTGCCATCAGCCAAGAAATCCAGCAGAGTTCTTGTAGATGACTTATTTATGTCATCTTTGTGTTTCAGCAATAAGGCAACCAGTAACAGGTCAATGATACAGGTAACAGAGAGCATTTGCTTCTAGTTTTACAGGGCAGGGAAAACCTGGAGAATCTCTTTGGGATTCAGAGCAGGGGAGGAAGACAACAGGGACAACCAGCAGCGTGACAGGATCTGATGTAAAAAAGTACCAATAAAAGGAAGTGTTTTTAGAGGTTCTCCATAATATTAGGCAATGGTAACGTAGTAACTGCAGGTGCAAGTGCCACAACTCCTGCCTTTTCAAGGATGGACCATCAAATTTGTTACAAACAAGATACCGTCTGCAGGGATCTTCACTCTGAAAGATTGGAGTAATTATCGCTAGATTACCAAGACAAACGAGAGGGAAAGATATGGAAGAGATAAAACAGAATTTCCACAATTTAGTGCTGATCGAGAGATTAAGCCTGACTGCATTTCAGTTGGTAGCCTAAACAAACGAGAGGCCCGGCCACATAAATCAAGTTAATTTTAAAAGGTTACATACCAGGGAGAGTTAGAGAAAGAAGAGGAAAAAACACCGGGTCCTGTCCGCGGGCCAGACTGCTAAAGATTTTAACATCCTTTTTGTAAATAATAAAGGTGCCAATTAAGACACACCAGTAAGTCTGGGGCGACGGGACCCACCGTATCAGTACTCCCAGGCCTGCAGTACCTCATTAATACTAATCAGAGCCGGCGCTGGCAGGCGGCGAGAGCTCAGCCCTGCGTGCACTCGCATCCTGTACTTGACTCCCGGCGACACAAAAGGTTTGGATGCGGATCCCCGCCCGGTAACACCGCCACGTCCCCCTCCCCCCCGCCGCCGCCGGCTCCGGCACCGCTTAACGCGGGGCATCCTGCATCCCAGCCGGGGGGGACCGGCGGGAAAGGGGCTGCCGAGGGGCGGGCTGCGGATGGACGAGGGGGTCCTGCCGCCGGGAGAGTGGGCGGGGGAGGGGGGGGGCACACACCCTTTGGGAGACTCGGGGAACCGGGAGCTCCGGCGAACGGGGGGGGAAAAAAAAAAAAAAAAAAGAAAAGGAGAACGAAAAAAGTTAGGGTCGGGAAGTTTTCCGCCGCTCCCAACCTGCCGCCGCAAGCCGGCAACGGGCCCCGGCCCCGGCCCGGAGCCCGGGCCCGCCCCCCCCGGCGCCCCCTTACCGTAGACGCGGACCCAGCCCTGCTGCTGGCAGACCGACTCCAGCAGGACGCGGTCCAGCGCGCCGCCCGCCGCCGCCTCCAGCTCCTCCGAGCCC